CACTATGATAAAAATAAGAAAAAATAAAAAGAGAATTAAAATGAGTGAGTGTGCCAGCACCTTTTCRACACCGCCATCTTTGCCGATTTTTTATTATTTTTTGACATTGACAAATGCCCTGAAAATTTACAGATATGTAGTTTACATAATCAATAACTCATTAAAAAGTTTTCAAAAAATAATATAATTTCTTAGGCCCCGAAATAAAGTGAAAACAAACAGTTACAAGTGAAAAAAAAACAAAATAGTGAGTGGGCGAGCACGTTTTGACACCCCCATCTTTGACGATTTTTAATGTTTTTTTGGCTCAGCATAATGGCTTCAAAATTTATAGGCGTGTAGGCTACATCATAGAGAACTCACAAAAAAAAATTCAGAAACAAAAACTTATTTTTAGGCCCCGAAATATTTTTTGGCGGGGGCCAAACCTGGAGGTGTTCGGCCCCCGAACGGGCCCCCGAACGCCCGAACGTTCGGGGGCCAGCCTGGGGGCCCCTGAACGCTCGGTCAGGTAACCCTGTATATATATATATCTCTGCCTACGGTTTACCGGGCAGTTCTGTTTGTGACGATATATACAGTGCGAGCCAAGTGATGGCACATGTGACCAAATAGGAATTAATTAACAAAAAAAAAAAAGACCACTGCACGCTGGTGTCTGTACTTGAGGACGATGTCGGGTCATGTTCTAGGGAGGCGTGGTCTGTTCTTTTATGCTTTTAGCGTAGTCTGAAAAAAAAAGCAAAAAAAAAAAGCATCGTCTGAACAGGCAGAAATATGTGCAGGTGTGTAGTGTGGCAGCCAAGTGCCTTCTCTCTGTGCAATAGAAATTGCCTGTGTCAGAAATCTAACGTCGGGGCCGTTCGCAGTACCACTGGATGGGAGGGAGGATAAGGATGACAGGAAGAACTGCAACTGCATATGAAAGCAGTCAACAGCGCTCTGGACAAAGGCAAGACAAGCTTTGCCTACGCCATCAAAGCATCTTCTCAGTCTTCTACTGAAGGACCCACGTTATGACGGCTCACAATCGGTTCCTCGATTGTCACTGTTAAGTGGGAAGCTGGGCCTGGTTTCCAGCAGGTGCAGCTCCCCACCAATAGAATGGAGCCATCGTCTATCTGTCCGGAGGTCCTATTCGTGGAGGTTAATCTTATCACCTCCACGACCTCCGTGATAGGCCTCCCACAGATGGTTCACACACACACACACATACACACCATGTAAGTGCCAAGATGTGTGATGAGACGTGAGCTCCCCCTGCCGTAAGGGGACGACTCAATCCCGCGTACCTGCAAACCGCTTCAGGTCGTCGTGCCATCTCAAGGCTTCAAGATTGTGTGATGATCTGGGCTGTCTGTGGTGTTTTTTTCCTCTCAAGTTCAACTCGTTGTTGTTGTTGTTGTTCTTCTTCTTCTTCTTCTAGAAAAACCCAGGTTGTTGTAGAGGTGAGGTTCCAGACATACAGTGGGCGCAGTCAGCAGTCAGCCATTGGTTGTCCTGATAGTTTTTAATTGTGGGACTGCCTCCCTACCCATCCGCACGTCGATTCTCCTAGCGTACCCCTAGTCCTGCTATCCGACCTCAGTGTTAAGCCACCAGTACCGTTCCCAGCTATTTTTTTCAGAGGCGCGCCGGGTAATGCGCTGGCCTGAAACGGAAGGGCGGCCGCCGATAAATCGAATCGGCGGCCTCTCTTGATTTCCGGGCCGGAGCGCAGTGCGCGCGGCGGACATATGGGAAAGGTACTGGAGGTTTAATCACTCAGGACTATCCACCCGCCAGGTGCCTTGGACCGGACAGCTGTTATAGGCACAAGGGCTAAGCAGATATCCTGCCCAGCCCTGTTGACTGGGCAAGCCTTGTCAAACGGGTACTTTGGTCGCCAGACTCGAGCAGTGGTTTCTATTGGCCCAGCGAGCATATCATTGACCGTGTCGGAGAGCCGCCCCCCAAGCCCCAGATTTAGTCTATGACACCCCTAGCTAGTAATCCGATTAGGTACTACAACCCCCCCCCCCCCCCCCCCCCCCCCCCCCCCCATACACACACATTGGCATTGTAGGCTCTGTATTGTGCCCGTAACGCTGTGTATTGTGCCCATAGGCTGTGTTGTGCCCGTAGGCTCTGTTTCTCTCCATAGACTATGTTGTGTGTAGGCTCTGTATTGTGCCCGTAACGCTGTGTATTAGGCTGCGTTGTGCCCGTAGGCTCTGTTTCTCTCCATAGACTATGTTGTGCCCGTAAGCTATGTATGTGTATCTGACAGCTGTAGCTTGTAACCCTTGCGCCTATTCTGTATATGATAGGCTTATCTGTTGAGTGGCTGTTGACCTGAGGCCTTGGCTAGTGCCTGCATGGCTGTTGGTACATCCTGTGCTTCAGAAGGCAGACCATGCGATTGACTTGTCAATTACTGCAGGACCTTGGTTAGTGCTCACCTGGCTGCTGACCTGTTGTTTCCAGTACAGTCCCGCACTATGGGATCGATTCCCTGAGATATTAACCTTGTGTTGTCATGATGTAGGATGCGGGTTCGAATCCCTTTGGTAAGTCTCTGTCGAGTTTGTAGATGCTGGCAGCCGCAGGTCGCAGGATCAATCTCCGGTAGCAGGCTGTGGGCGTTTGTTGATTGCATGACTGCTGTTTCGGATGACGGTACGTAGGGGTTGGAGGGTTGGTACCTGCCGCTTGACCTGTGGATCGAAACATGGTAAGTAGAGTGCTACGGGTTTGTTCTAGTGATGAGCGGAAGGTCGATGGTTCGAGACCCGACTTTTTTGGTCAGTAGGGCTGATATCGACCTTTGTTGGATGGAACTTTCTGGTCCTCTTGAGTTGGTACGCATAGTATAAAGTCTTGCCTAAGGAATCATTGGTTACCTTCCGCGAACTGAAGACCCCTGATGAGTCCGGCGCCGGCCGGTCGAAACGTCGGGTCACTTCCACCAGTGCTTTATTGTTACATCTATCAATAACAGTCACGCTCGGGCTCGGGAGACTTCTCTTCGACTTCTTTTTCCTCCCTCTCTTCAGCTCCTTACTCTTCCTTCCATCTCCAACCCCTCTTCCCACAGTGGTTGTTACCTCTCTGTTGTATGTTTGCTTTGATGAACCCGGTAGTATGTGGTACCTTTGCTCACGTGGCATATGGCTGTATGCTTTGACTGAATACACTATCTGTGCTAGAAGCCTCCCAGAAAGTCCAAGCCAGACTCGAACCCATGCTCATCATCTTGTAACAGCACAGCTTAAACATATATGCTATGCTACAATCGGCAGTAGAACCAATTTGCAGTAGCCAGATTGTGCAACGA